CATTTAATGCACACCCATTCACTTTGGCTCAAGCTTATTATCTAACAACAGCAACAGAAGAAGTTGTCTTCTGCTTCCCAATGACAGATGCTGAGGCTACTTGTCAGGACAACAGTGTAACCATTAAATCCAAGTGGACCAGGCTCAACAGTCAATAAGATATGAAAGTTAAGACAACTCAATGTAGCACAGCATAGAGTAAATATGGTTCTAACAGCACATGAGATGCTGGCTCTATCACTACTCCATTTGGAAGAAGTAGGACCAGAGATGAAACCGTTTGTCTGGAATCATCCTTCCCATCAAAGACAAGGACTAGAAGCTGACGTCCACCCCAGGGATCTTGTCTTCTTCCTACCTCCTTCTTCCCTACACATGGCCAAGGCGAGCACTACACTTTTTTTTAAGTTGCAGTCACTTGTAAGCCTCGAAATGAAAAGTTGTTTTCACAGTCTTGCTATAATTAAGCCATCAGCACAACTCACAAAAACAAAACTGTGCCTTTTTAATTAGTGTCTTGAATGTAAATTAATGGCTCATTATTCTTTCTCATTTCCAGCTGAGATAGTTATTAAAGTCAGAAAAAATAATGAATAGTCAGACGGGGAAAATTCAATGGTATGAAGAGGGTCAATTTTCCCTCTTAGATTCCTAGTATATTGGAGTGACCTAAGAGGCCCCTCAGAAAGCACCATGTGGTCCATGGGAAGCAAAAGAGAGCACATAACATATGGGTTTGCATCACCTCCAATTAAGGATAGTCTGTATAGACTAAAGAGACTTTCTGCGAGGCTCCCCTGTGTCCCCACGAGGTTTACTGAGTTCTGATAAACAGCAATGACATATGACTCTGACGTCTTGATCCTAGACAAGTTGAAGGCATCTTTCATTCATCCCCTTTGCTATAATTGTTGAGGACGTACTGTGAGCCAACGTCTGTGCTCATTGCTGTAGATTCACGGTTAATCACTAAGATGTGGTTCAGCTTTAAATATGAGATGTATAAATACATAAATGACTACATAAAAACTGATACCCATGAGGCCAAGTTCATTCAGCAAAATCAATTGGCTCTTTTCCCAATGTTTGGGACTAAGTCTTTCAGAAAAGCTGATATTAAAAATAACTAGACCTAGAAAGTTGAGGGAATATCTGTGTTCCTTCCCTATTCAATGCTTCATGGATTTTTTTCTATATTTCTCTAACTATTTCATGACATCTACCCAAAAGATGCTGCAATATTCCCAAAAGAAGGAGCAATTTTCATTTCAGCAGCATTTACTTGAGTCCTCTTTTGGGAACACAAAATGGAACTTATTGGAGACACTGAGTGTCTACTTGTCATTGGTATAAATTGTTTTCCTTATAGAGGTCAAATTATGATGGTCACATTCTATAGTTCAGAGTGGGACTAGTCCCAGTTGCAAGACTAATCCTACTTGTACATGTGACTTTTCTTCCTGGAACCTGGTCTATAAAATGAAGAAGTCAACCACAGAGGCACTAAGCACCCTATCCTATGAATGAATGATTGTACAATTTATATGAAATATGTTTTCATCTTTGAAGACCACAGTCCCTGAATAATTCCACCCACAAGGACAGCACCTATGCTCAGCTAGATACTAGGGTGTCTGATGATCAAGGGAAAAAAATCCATTATTCTAGGACATTCAAGGAGAATTGAAAAATTCTATCAGAGTATAGCCAGTAACCTTGCTTATAATCAAAAGATGGAGAGTGAGCAAGCGTACAAGCCCAGGCAGCAGAGTTGTAAACGAGGGCACGTTAGTTGGCTGAATGAAATGCTTGCCTGGAGCAGGGATCCATAAATATTCCATGACACTCAATTGATTTCTCAAAATGAGTTCCATTTCTGATTTGCACATCTAGCTGATGATGCTTTGGGTTATTCTTCAGCTCTGCATCCAGTGTGCTGTGTCCATCTCAGAATTTCTTCTGTTCCCATCAACTAACCACACTCTGTCTACTCTATCTTAGCACTCCCTAGACCACCGGAGCTTCTGAACATGAGATTTATAACACAGCCCCATTACCCGAGGCAGGGTGCTTGAGAATACTGGTGCAAAGAAAAGTAATGAAGATGGATGGTGTGACATCCTGCAGCAACAAGGCCAGAATGGAATGCTGGAACTTCCAAAGACTTGAGTTCAGGATGGTCCCTCTTAGTGTTTCTCAAATGTTTCCAAATGACAGACCCCACAAAAATGTTAATTGTTGCCTAAAACAATGGAATTAATACATAAAAACTGTTTGAAAAACAGGTGATACAGACCCAGAAATTCTGTTGTTAAGCATCTTACCCCAAGGATTAAGGAAAAAGTTTAGCATATGTTGTGGTAGTTGGGGAACTAGGCCATCTGTTTTAAAAACCAACTAAAACCTCATCAGGTTAATACAAATAGGTCCTACGAGGCCATTATGTAATTAGATATCCCAAGTAATAAGTTATATTCTAAGTTGTGGATCAGGGATCACAGTTCCTTCTCTATGATTATGACAACTGTCTCTTCAAGACTCTTCAGCTGAGAGACTTGATACACAGCTTGCTAACAAGCAAAGAAAGAGAGTAAGTGGGGAAAATCACAGGATATCTACAAGAAGGCACTCATCACTTCCTCCTACAAGTCCATTCAACAGCTACTAGCCATGAAGATGGCTGCTGTAGTGTCAGGCCATCTAGGAAGAGAGAACCGGGTACCTACTCCACTAGTGGACATATGATACAGGTAAGACGGAGGAGATGGAAAAAGGTTGTAAGAGCCAGAGGACTTATGCACATGTGAGCTCACTGCAGCTATGGCAGGGTCCACAAGATCTGCACAGGTGCAAGCAAGATGGATTCCTAGCACTGAGAATGGAGGATGTAGACAAGGAAGGGCCCCACCCCTAACCAAGAAACTATTTTTAGTTGATACTCACTTGTTACGGAATATTACATTAGCTAAGCAAAGATGTGTTACATTTGTTTATGCTTTATTAGTTCAACAATCTATGGACATGTTACATTTGTTCATGCTGCATTTGTTTAAGGATATAAAGATGTGTTGGTTTGACTGCCTAAGGCACCTGATTGGTTTAATTAAAAGCTGGATGGCCAATAGACAGGCAGGAGAGAGACAAAATAAGTAGGAGGAGGAATCTAGGCCCTAGAGAGTGAAAGAGAACAGAGGAAAGGAGAGGGAGATGCCCGGGGCCAGCCGGGCAATGGCCAAACGGACAAATATGGGGTAGGACATACAGAATTTAAGATGGTAAACAAAAATAAAACCTGAGGTAAGACACAGAGGAAAAGAAACAGGCTAATTTAAGATGTAAGAGTCAGAGGGACAAGCATAAGATGAGGCTGAGCATCCATAACTAATAATAAGCCTCCATGTTTTGATTGGGGGGCTGGCAGTCTGAGAAAGCTTGTTACTCCCTCTGGTAAAGGAAAAATCAGTTGTCCACAATGGAGGTTCACTACCTAGATCAACAACACTCCAGGACAGGCCCTATGAACAGGAATAGTTAGCCAACACAGAATGAACTCAGTTTTTGTCTATTTATTTGTTTGGGTGAATAGTTGTTTGTTTGCTTATATTTGTGCATGTGATGGTTTGAAATAAAATGGCCTTCAAAGGGATTGGCACTATGAGGAGCTATAGCCTTGTTAGAGTAGGTGTGGCCTGGTTGGAGGAAATGTGGACTCGTTGGAGGAAGTGTGTCACTGTGGGGACGGGCTTTGGGGTCTTTTCTGAAGCTTCATTCAGTACGACAGTCAGTCGGCTTCCTATTGCTTGTGTGTCAAGATGTAGGACTCTAAGCTCCAGCACCATGTCTGCCTGCATGCTGCCATGATCCCCACCATGATGGTAATGGACTGAACCTCTGATACCGTAGGCCAGCTCTCTAAGTTAAATGTTTTCCTTTATAAGAGTTGGAGTGGTCATGGTGTCTCTTCATGGCAATAAAAAAAAACCCTAGCTAAGACAGTATGTATGTGTTGATGTTTTGTTCTAGCTAATTTCTTTTCACTTATTTATTTTAATTTTTCTCTCTTGCTTTCTTTTTGTCTTATTGGTCTTCCTATTGTTTTGATTTTCATTTTTATGGTTTTTTTTAAGGAAAGAGAAAGAATATAAAGTTGAGTAGATGGGGAAGTAGGGGGGATCTGGAAGGTTTTATGGGAGGGAAAGAAACGTGGTCAAAATAGATGGAATGAAAAAATATTTTTAAATAATTTTCTTCCAAAAAAAGGTGAAGAAAAGAAATTAATCCCACCCCTCCTGGCTATCAAGAGAGCAAGACTGGGACCAAGCACATTCCATCCTCCTCCATGCAGTACTTTAATTATGCTTCAAGGTTCTTTAGGAAGAGGGTCATTAGATAAAAACGCGAAAGGGTTGGAGAGTTACGTATTGAAGAAAACAATGCAATGCTCAGTCAAGGCTTAAGACATATAAATTGTAAGTTATTCAGCAGGAAGACAAATAAATTTCCCTACAGTTAGGTTTTAAAAATGACCTTCCAGGCTGCTCCAGACAATTTTAACCTCAGTAAGAAACACGGCATTCCCTCAGCATGGGTGATGAAGCCTCCAGGAGAACCAGGCCACGCTGCCACCTTTTGGAAATAATTATCAAACTAAGTCTCCTCCCGCTGTGAACAAGCATAAGAAAACGAATCAACGCGTGCAGCAGGATTTCCTACCCCACTTAAAGTTGCATAAACTGGAAGTTCCAAAAGTAAACTAATGAAAAGACATTGGGAAAGACTATTTAATATGCATGTTCCTCATGCTGCTCTTCCAGAAGACCTAAGTTCAGTTCTCAGCACCCACATGAGGTGCCTCACAGAGCACCTTTAACTCCAACTCTGGGGTACTTAGAACCTCTGGTCTCCTTGAGCATCTGCACTCAAGTTCACATAACCCCCCCACAGACGAACATATAATTTAATATAATAAATCTAGGGCTTTGCAGACACTGGGATTTCAAATGGCAACACGTGTGCCACTGGAGCAGAAGCTCATGGACATTGAACTGCCATCCTGGATATTGGTGTGGGATTTCACCCCCAGTGGCACTGTGGGGATCTGTCAGAGAGTTTACTACCAGGGTTACAAGAAATACATGTAGCATTGAGTTCTAATGGGTCCTAATAACAAAAACCCAGAGTCAGATATAGGAGTGAACGCTGAAAGACCAGGGAGACAAAGGAACAAGCCACAGCCACACCTTACCTCACCAACTTCTCAGCCAGAAAAAACTGAGCTCCTGTCTCTTCCTGCCTGATTTTCCTCTCTCAACCCAGTCAGTATACACAAACCTCCAGACCTCTATGGTTAACTAGTGGCTAGCTACGCCCTCTGATCTTCAGGCAAGCTTTATTTGTTAGAGCACAAACAAGATATCACCACAGTGTACAACAGTTTCTGGAAAGGCAGCATTGTTGGGCTTAGCATGGTGCTAGTAGCCTACCTGCCTCTCAGCTACTGCATTCCTTTCAAGGAACTCAAACATAAGTGGCGACCAGCAAGTACTTCTGAGGATGGTCAGTATGGAGAGCACTGCACTCCTAAGCAAAACCAGCTGCCCAGATCCCATCTATGATAAATTTAGCTGTCACTGTATCCGCATATTCTGACTGAGAACTAAATGTCCATTAAAAGGTGACTGGTTAAAATAATAATAATAATATAATCTTTTAAAACATATGCCCCTGGACCTGTCTTTATTTCTTTTGTATTGCTGTAACAGTGCACCATGGCTGAGATGCACATAATAATTAGAGATTGCTGAGAAGATGAAGTTAAAAATAAGCATCTCAAACTGAGAAAATGGTACACTGCAAAGGCTCAGGGACATAAAGAGGTGGGTATCGACGGAGCTGTTCTGTCTTTTCTAGAGCATAGAATGTAAGGAGTAAATGTAGAAGACTAGTAGGGACCAGATAATCATACATTCTAAGAGTGATTGCCTGGATGAGGCAAACATAAAAGCATCAAGGGAGAAGGGAATCCTTGATGTTTGGGGATGTTCTCTCTCACGGGAGGATAGAACGTTATAGTTTGAATGTGAAATGTCTTCTGCAGGCTCATGTGTTTGGACACTTGATCTCAGGACGCTGGCATCGTTTCTGGAGCTTGTAGGATCTTTACGGGATAAAGTCTGGCTGGCAGAAGCTAGTTACTGAGTGTGGGTCCGTTTCATTCTCCAGGCTCACACTTTCAGTCTGCTCTCTGATTTCTGACTGTGGGTTCTGCGTGTCCAGCTGCCTTATGCTCCTGACAGTACACCTTCCTTGCCATGATGTAGTGCATCTCTTCTTAAACTGCAAGCCAAAATAAGCTCTTCCTCTTTTAGTCTTTTTTTTACTGGTATCTTATCACATTTATGAGAAAACAAGTGCAAGAAAGCATTATGATTCTGGAGAGACGCAGACCATTTGACAAACAATTATGTTTGTTCAGTCAGGGATCAGTAAGGGTTGGAACCAAAACATTGTAGGTCAAACTCCATCTTGGCAAAAGGCTAAGCTCAAGTCCTAACCCACTGTATGCATACTCTAGGCCACACTTATAAACAAGATCTTTACCGATACAATCAACTTTATAATCCGTTGTAAGAGCTAAACACTGAACTGAACTCCTGGGAACCAGTTGCAGAGAAGGAGGAGTGATGAGCAAAGGGGTCGTGACTGGGCTGGTGAAACCCACAGAAACAGCTGACTTAAACAAGGAGGAACTCATGGACCCCAGACTGATGATGGCTGAGAGGACAGCATGGGACTGATCCAGACCCCCTGAATGTGGGTGTCGGTGAGGAGGCCTGGGCAATCTATGGGGCCTTGGGAAATAGATCAGTATCTATCCCTCGAATACAAATGGACTTTGGTGCCCATCCCACAAAGAGGGATGCTTTCTCAGTCTGGAGTCTTGGGGGAGGGCCTAGGACCTGCCATGAATGAAATGACAGACTCTGGAGAGCCCCATGGAGGGTCTAACCCTCTCTGGAGAGTGGAGTAGGGATTTGGTGGGGAGTTGGGGAAGATGGGAGGGAGAGGGAGCTGGGATTGACATGTGAAGCAACCTTGTTTCTAATTTAAATTAAAAAGGGGGGGGGAACCCATAAAATCCCTAAAATTTGAAGTATAAAAAAAGAAAAGCAAAACGAAAGCTAAAATGGCCTCTATGTCTTTGAAGTAGAGGGGAAGTTGGATGCAGGAGCACAAAGAGAGACAGTCCTGTGACAAGTGCAGCAGAGACCTTGCAGGTTGGCTAGCACCTAGAGTGCCAGCGCCACAGGAAACTACGGGAGGGGAGCCTCCCAAGCAAGCAAGGCCCCAGAGTCATACTAGCTTCAGAAGTTGACCTCCAAAACAGACAGCATCACTTCAGTGGTTTTAAGCCATAAACTAATGGTATTCTGTTACAGCAGTCCCAGAAAATTAATCACTGAGGACACAGAGAGCAAGTGGGTGGAGAAGAATGTGCTGTAATTAATAAATAGAGACATTAAAGACTTAGAGGGTTGAGGAACGGGGTTTGGAGAACGGGTGTGCAAAAGATGGACCCAAATTTTTTTAATGATCTCCAGTGTTTGAAACAGTAACTCTGGGTATTGAAGAGATGCAGTCTGGCAAAACAAAAGTGCTCACCTTGTCTGCAGAAGGCCTCCACAGCACCCTACAGAGGTAGCCATCACAGGCAAACTACAACTTGAGAGGTTTGCAGCTTGACTTTAGAGAGAGAAACCTGTACTCTTTGGTATCATCTGCTGTGTGACTTAGCAAACAGACATTCCCCTTGGTTCTTCTTCAGTCTGAGGGCTGATGGGCTTCAATTAAACCGTGGAAATGTCATTTGAGTCGATTCACAGCCCTAGCCATTTCTGTCACATGACCTGTGCCAATGCTATTCACCTATTACACATCTATAGTTCTCCTTCAATGGGCTGTGTGTGGGTCATCCTTGCATCAGTTTCACAGGGATCACCCTAGTCCCGCCTCTCAGCAGCCCACTGACCTTCCGAACGAATTCTCTACCTGAGGCCCTCCTTCACCTCCTAGTCTCTAAATCCATCTCCAAGTGAAATCAAATGGAAGTATGCAAACCTGTCTCCCCAAGGCCTGGAGGAGCTCTCTGGCTACTATCCTACACTCACCTATGAGTGTATTGTTTGCATCCCTAAGCCTGTTTGTTATCCTGCTAATCAAAGTTCTCCAATTCTACTGCTCATGCTCCTCGCTTACCTAGACTTGCTGATTCATTTTTGTTAAGTATCATCTTCCTTAAGGAGTCTACACAAGTCCTAACCCTGTACAAGCATTTGGACCTGTTCCCGCAGTGGGCATTTCTAGTACATGTCTCTCCAGTGCTGTATTGTGACTCTGCCCCTCTAAATAGATTATATTTAAATGAGTAATTTCACTGTATCTCTAGTCTCAGCACTAGCAAGGTGACACATGGTAGGCCCTCAAGCTGTGATGAATGAATACAAAGCTACTTAAATTTTGCTGGAAAGCTGCCTTCCAAGAGAGCAGCATCCAGGGTAAGCACACTGGGATTTTTCTAGCACAGTCACGTGACTCACTAGCTGTGAGATTTATCAGGCTCCATGTACCAGGTGCCACCTCTGTATTCAGCTTCGCTGACCAAGAAAATGAATTTGATCCTGGATCTCTGTCCTCTAGACAGCAGCTTGCCAGGAGAAGTCGTTAACGCAGTAAATCATCTTCCCAGCTGTTAATACCACGTACCGTCCTGTTTGCCGTCTTTTAGATCAGCTGAGCACCAACCTGTGCTGTGATATCTCCGGGAACATCTCCATTCTCATCGGTAGTGTGGTCCATCTGTTTGGCTGGTGCTTGAATTACCAAGCTGTGGCCAGAAGTGGAGGCATGAGCCAATGAGCCAGACCAAATGGTAACCGCCCACACAGGGTGAAGGGCAGCCCATTTCCTGTTCTGGCACACCTGCTTACACTAACTGCTGCCTGGCAGGCAGAAGGCATGGGATTAGAGACGCCACCCTTAAGAAGGCTAGAGGTGAGAAGCTGTTTGTCTTCTCTGAGACTGAGGCTCCACCACAAAAGCTGACTGGAGAATTCGGAAGGTGGTGATTTCCTTAGCTGAGTCTCCAGCTGGCTGCGCCACATCTCACATGTTACCCCTGCATTTTAAAACTTGCTAATGTGAGCTCACCGTGAGCCAGGAAGAATTCAAAATGCATTAGTTTCTGAATTTGAATTATGTTCTACAAGTCCAAGTGCTTGTGGTTTTTTGGGAGTTGTTTGTTTGTTTGTTTTTGGCAAATCAACACAGGCTAGAGTAATCTGAGGAGAGGGAAACTCAATTGAGAAAATACCTCTACTAGATGGCCTACGGGACATTTTCTTGAATAATGATTAATGTGGGAAACCCTAGCCTACTCTAAGTGGTACCACCCCTGGGCAGGTAGTCCTGAGTTGTTTAAGACAGTAAACTGAGAAAGACAGTAAGATGCAGTTCTCCATGGTCTCTGCTTAAGCTCCTGCCTTGAGTGCTTGCCCTGACTTCCCTTCATTATGAACTATTAGCTGTAAGATGAAATAAGCCCTTTGCCCCAAGTGGCATTTGACCAGTGTTTTTATCACAGCACTAGGCAGCAAACTAGGACAACAACCCCTTACATTCCAACTGTAGGGATGTCAACCCCTTACATTCTAATTGTAGGGATATAAATCCCTTACATTCTAACTATAGGGATATAGACTTCTTACATTCTAACTGTAGGGATATTAACCTCTTACATTCTAACTGTAGGGATGTCAACCCCTTACATTCTAACTGTAGGGATGTCAACCCCTTACATTCTAACTGTAGGGATATTAACCCCTTACATTCTAACTGTAGGGATGTCCCAGACATCGAATACTGAGACTGAAGCCACAGATGACCAGATTTGAAGAAAGAACTATCTAAGCATGAAAAGGAGTTCTCACATGGGTTTGTCATACTGGAGGAAAAACAAGAGGTGCGGTGGGGGAGAGAATGGAGAGTTTGGGGTGATGGTTCTAGGAGCTGACTGGCGTTATGCCATGATCTTATCATGTATGTGTGAGAAAAACTTTAAGGAAAAAAGTTGACATATTATGAATGTCAGAAAGACAAAGACAAAAGGCTATCTGGTTAACCCCTGACTGTTCAGAACCCAGCTTGGCAAAAGGAGTCCAGTTAGAACTACTGCTTTTGTCAGTGAGAAGTAAGGCAGCCTGGGCAGGGCTGTTGTGGGAAATACAGTGAGAAGCAACGGAGTCAGGGAAGTAGACAGAACACTTTAGGGAAGGATAACTGATGCTTTGTAAGATAAAAACAAAGATGATCCCGAGGCCTGTGGCCTGAGTGACTTGGTGGATGGCGATGGTGTTTATTAAGGAAAGGAAGACTTGGGAGCAGTACGCTGACTTATAAAGCAGAATCAATAAGTGTGATATGGATGTGTTGTGTTAGAGATGCCTGTGGGGCACTCGACAGGAGGAACATCTGGGGTGCAAGTAGAGCTTAAGGAGGATGGGAAGGAAGAGAACTCTGACAAAAGAGGTACTGTGGCCCCAGAAACATGTATCACAGCCCAGAAGGAGACTCATTGTGCTGGTCATCTGCCAAGTCAGGCACCAGACTTTATTATCTGTAGTCTTCTTAGATTCGCTTGTTATTTCATGTGAATGAGTGTTTTCCCTGCATGTATGTATGTACACCGTGTTTGTGCTTGGTGCCCGTAGTGGTAAGAAGAGGGCATCAAACCCCCTGAGACTGTAGTTAAGCAGAGCTGTGAACTGCCATGGGACTTGAACCTAGGTACTCTTGTAGGGCAACAAGTGTTCTTAAAGGCTGAATCAACTCCCTATCCCTGGGCGTTAGATTGTAAATCTCATGAACATCAGAAAGACACAGAAAAAGACTATCTGGTCAACCGCAGGCTGGGAGAAGGGAGTCTAGTCAGAACCACTGCCTTTGTTGATGAGGAGTACAGAGGCCTGGGCAGGGCTGCCAGGGAGATGCAGCTTTCTGAATGATGTAATCCCTGAAGGTAAGAGCACTCATTGCATCAGCCTGAACATTTGTAGTTCATTTCTCCACTTCCTATCTGTGTGCCTTCCACGAGTCTTTCTTCCCTCATCTACACGTGAGACAACAGTACAACCTTTACAAAGTGGGGAAAGAGAAGTACCAAGAAATGTGCGAATAATTATTAAGCAATAGACCTCATAATGACTATTCTTTATCCATGCTTAGGGGTACGTTGTGTGTCATAAAATGATATGTCCCATTTCTGTCTCCTGGCACCCAAACATGTTTGGAAATAGGATCTTTGCAGAGGTTACAAAGTGAAGATGAGGTCATGGTGGTTGTGAATGGGTCCTAACCCTGTGACTGATAAAGAAGAGGGAAATTTGTGTAAGAGGCCGTTTACAGGGAATGCCATGTGACAGGATGCTGCCACAAGACGAGAAATGTTGAGAGTCTCTTGGAAGCAGCAAAAATGAACAGAGACACAGGACAGATTGTCTCACCAAGCTCTAAGAAGGATGCCGCTCAGACAAGACACCTGTGCTCTGGAAGTCAGAGAGAATAGCTCTGGCATCGTAAGACCCTCAGTTTGTGGTGATTTGTTATGCAGGCTGTAGGAAGCCACGGCACGTTCTGTTTCACAAGTGAGAAAGTGAAAATGCAAGGCGGCCACGGTACTCTCCAGAGATCACGTGGGAGAATGTAGTCATCCTTGAAGCCACATCAGAGCAACACCCTCCTATCCACTCAGTCTGCCGAATGTCAACTGCACTGTTAGCATCCTGGCTTGCAAATGACCCAGTCAGTGCCCTACGGGGACCCATAATGTGTGGAGGAGACAGACAGGAAACTGAGTAAAGTAAACGTCGTGTTAACGTCAGGGTGGTAGGATCAAGGGATTGTGAGGAATAAAGACAGAACTGTTCTAACTTGGGCAGAGGGCAGGGCGCTTACAGTGGATAAGGAGGCATGACTGACGCAAACATGCCTGAGGAATGGCAGAAACGCTTACAGAGGGCAGGGCGCTTACAGTGGATAAGGAGGCATGACTGACATGAACATGCCTGAGGAATGGCAGAAACGAGGGGAAGCCAACAAGTATGCTGCCCGAGAAGGGGTGAGTCAAAGTGGTACTACACCTACAGTTGCCGGGGACTACATAAAAAACACGCCTCACAGGATGACATGCCCTCCATGTCTTCATGTCATTCATTTGGATGGATGTGCACACATGTGGATGCACTGTATACATGTGAATGCACATGTACACATATAGATGGACGTGTACACATGTAGATGCACGTGTACACATGTAGATGATATGTATACACATGGAAGCACATGTACACATATGGATGGACATGTACACATGTGGATGCACGTGGACACATGTGGATGGATGTGTACGCATGTGGATGCACCTGTACATATGTAGATGATACGTACACATGTGGAAGCACATGTACACATGTAGATGGATGTGTACACATGTGGATGGACGTGTACACGTGTGAATGCACATGTACACATGTGGATGGAAGTGTACACATGTACATGATATGTACACATGTGGATGCATGTATACACATGTGGATGGATGTGCACACATCTGGATGCACGTGTACACATGTAGATGCACTTGTACACATGTAGATGATATGTACACATGTGGAAGCACATGTACACATGTGGTTGGACATGTACACATCTGGATGCACGTGTACACATGTAGATGATATGTATACTTGTGGACGCACGTGTGCACAGGTGGATGGATATGTACGTACATGTGTGGATGCATGTGTATACATGTGGATGCGCGTGTACACATGTAGATGATATGTACACATGTGGATGCATGTGTACACATGTAGATGATATGTATACGTGTGGACGCACGTGTGCACAGGTGGATGCACATGTACGTACATGTGTGGATGCACGTGTATACATGTGGATGCGCGTGTATACATATAGATGATATGTACACATGTGGATGCACGTGTTTACATGTAGAAAGGAAGGCTGGAAGTGGGGCCCCAGCAGAAGGGAGCAGGCTGGGAGGCCGCCAGTCCGCGCAGGCCCCAGATACTGCCACTGAGTCTCGTTCCACGAGAGTCGTGAGGCCAGCCTCGACGGGCCCTGCTAAGAGTGTTTGACGTGCAACCATGTGTCCCAGCCAGTTTAACCCTACAGAGAATGAGTTCTTTCCTGCTTTAGCTATGGTCTAACGGGAGTGGTGCTCAAAAAGAAATGAGATTCCCGAGGAAGCGCGCCTGTGCTCCTCATGGAGAGCATTTGGGCCCAGAATGACTGAGGTCACACGGTGCTTTGATCCGATTAAGAGCAAAAACGTGAAAAGGACCAGTCACAAGGAAGCCAGTGGAGAATGGGAGAATTCCGGGAGATCTGAAGAAAGCAAAGGGAAACATAAGGACCGTTTTACTAGGGACCGTTTGAATCAGAGCAGAAAACAACGCCATGAAATCTCCCATCGAGCTGCCTGCGCACGAACCACGCACGCACGCAGGCGCTGTGACTTCCATTCATAGAGGACTTTTCGTGAATTTGGCACTTGATCTATCTGCAGTCACATGAGAGCTCAGCCCTGGCCACCTGCATTGCAGCCACTTGGTTAAACACCCTGAAGCAAAAGGCTCTCCAGTTATGCTGTGCCTAGAAGCCGAGTCCACACAAACGGCGACAACCGAGAGGAACCACACGGAACCACACAGTTCCGGTCTCGACCCTTCCTCATGCTCACACTGCCTTGACTCACCGGACACGCCACTCTGTGACATGGGTCCAAAGGTCTAATCTTTATCTTCCCTACGTCACTGATGTCCACGGAGAGACACAGT